AAACTGGGAGAGTAGATATGTTGAAAGCTCTTCATTAATACGTGGAGTTAAGAAAGAGGCAAAAAAAAAATAATTTGCCTTATGAATAGGATGTTTCTTCAGTGAACACTCTAATAATAATAATTTTCATTTTTAAAGAAAAAGTAATGGATTTTGGAATTTTTAAATACTGACCCAAGCCTCACCCAGAATATTTTAAGTTTACCATTTGTGCATGTCACGGTACATATAATAAATTAAAATTAACAGCTGGAAGATGGCACACCTTTAAGATAAAATTGATCAGGGAAGGAGCCCGGGAGCCGGTTTAACCAGTTAGCTGAAGATTTCTTCTACATAGGATTTACTTTACCGTCATTCCAAGAAAATTTACAGCATAGGGGGATTGTTAGGAGGAATGAGATATATGTTAGCGTCTGGTTGTCTGAAGACCACAGAATGTTAATGTAGAGAAGGCCAGAAAACACACTACAGTTCAGAAAGCTTAAAAAATGTCTTAAATTTTATCTATCAAACTATGCCACATGCCATTCAGATATAAACTAGAATTTTACTCAGTTCAACTCTTAGTTTAATTACTTTGTGGAACATCCTGTGTCACAAGTCTATCACACACTCGGGAATGCAAAACCTGTTGAGGTGCACTTTGACAGCTGTTTAGTTCTATTCAAAGCCAACATTAGTGTTGCAAAAGATGCTGTTTCTATTTTCAGCTATATAAGTAACCATAGGAAAGTTACATTCATTCAGTCTGACACCTGATGAGAAACCCGTGGCTACCCAAAGCGGAAATGTCATGGGCTTTTTCAATGGTCATTTGTAGGCAGGACTAACACTTTTAGCCTTGTCCAGAATAATTCATACACCATTGCCTAGACTAACATAGTTTTCATTTTAGTTTTATTGACTTGCAGTTGTACAGTAATGGATTCAAACCAATGAAGAAAATGGTTCCCTCCTTTGTTAATGATAGTAGGAGGTCTTTTTGTTTTAAATAGAAGTTTTGCAAGTACTTTCTCATAAATATTTCATTTTATCATTCTTTTGACATGCTGAATGTGTCCCATCTGGAACAAGTCACTGGCAGCTGTAAGCTTCCCAGTGGAGTTCCAGTAAGCTGGAGTGTGCTCCCATAGGACTTCTATCACTGCAGTGGTTCTGTGCCCACCACATAAAGATATTTTTAATGGAACTGAGTTGTTGGAAAACTTCTCTGCATACCATTTCCCTTCAAATGATACTGTCAAAAAAATCTCCAGGAAATAAGGTTGTATTGTATTAATCATGGAAGATAATTCTGTAGGAATGAGACATGAGACACAACTCACCATTCTGCTCCTGTCAGAGGGGTCAGACCAATCCCACCTGTGTGAGTCAGATCAATCCAGCCAACCCACACAAACCTCTACCATTCTACAAAACTTCAAACAACTAAAAGTGCATGAGGCATGTTTAAGGTCTTTTCCTACTCACATAAATTGAGCAAACCCTCCAACACAGATTTTGGTGTGCACAATTTGCCCCAAAGATGTGTGGTTTTCTATTTTCAACCCGAATTCAAAATTCTCAGGATAAACGCCTACTGGGCATACATTTCAATTAAATGTATATTGCTATCTTCAGTGAAGCTATCTGTAGGAGGAGTGCAAATAAAATGAAATTTAGCACCCTCACTCCTGAAATTTTAACACGTGTGGTATTTTGCACATTTAATGAGAGCACCCCAAATGTCACCAAAAAGGTAAACATGCCAGTTTTTAAATATCAAGCACAGCACATAGTTACAATATGTGACAATAAAATCTGGCTTTATAAAGGGAAAAAGGCACGCAAAGGTGAAACACAACTGTAATTTTCCACTTCAAACAAATAAACCCCAGAAATGTTCCTCCCCAAAACTGTCACATAAATTTTATGATAACCCTCATATTCATACTGTGAACTATTGGTAAAGACAGAAAATTATTTTAAATATATCTGTATGCTATTTCAAACAGATTAAACCCTATAATTTAAAAGAAAAATTTTCCAGCCTCTAGATTCTAGGCTGGTCTTTTAGTAGTTTCCAATTGTTTCTTGCATTCCTTCACTTAACTTGAAGGTTGCACTACGGGCACTGCAAAAACCTGTACTAAGTCATGTCATTTGATGGGCCAAAACTTACTAAAGCTTCTTTCATGCCAAGGAATTACAAAGTAACAGATATGAAGAAGAAAATACTTACTCAGCTGAAGCAATTTTACATCAGGCAGATGAAAAAAATGATTAATAGATTTGAATAAAAGGTCTTTTGTTTGCACAAGAAAAAAAAGAAAGTTTACAACACAGTGTGTCTAAGATGGAAAGTGACTGACTGCAACATAAGACAATAAAGATTCATCTTCTATATACTGTATGCAGAGTACAAAGATGGATGTTTAAATAAATGCAGAGCAGGCAAGAAAATACATCAGCTGACAGATATTTATACTATGAACTGCTTCTACTGTAAAACACAGAAAACTTTTTAACACCTTATATTAATAGTCCTTCTAGAAACGATAAATATAAAATTAGTCTTAAATTCATTGGGCTGCTTATGAAATAAATTAAAGGACAACAGAACTGAGATACACATATCTTTAATATCTCATAATTTAATGTAAGAAAGTAGCCTACTGTGCAATCTAAGAAGGTAAGACCATATTTGTGATTATGACTTTGCAAAATTAAAAGCATATGTGTATTTTTCATGTTGGAATGCCTCTATCAATTCTGTTATTCTCTACTGGTAATGAATTAACACTAAATTACACAGAGAAGGAGCAACAAAAGAGCTCACATCATCATTCTGGAATCAAATGTAGTCTTACTAAAGAGAGCATTATCACAAGCATGTTTTGTATTAGTCTTCTTTTTAAAAATATTAGAATGGTATGAATGATATCGGGTAACTTCATTGCTATTCCTAAAAATGAATTTACTGGTCCAGTTTCATTAGAAGGTTTTCAACCATAAACTTCCCTTCAACACTACAAGAATTGTTACTGATTGAAAGTGATAAGGACAAAGTAAATAATTCTTCAAATTATAACTGCATAAACTTTCTGGTATTGTAATTCCAATGTCACCTTGGAGAAAAGCAGTAAGGAGTGGTATCTAGCAACCCAGTACCTCATTAGACAAGGGTTTACTAAGATCTGAACTTGTAGAAATATAGAGCTTAAAGAAGTGTAGAAAATTTGCCTTTCATTGTATTGGCACTGCATTCCATTACATATGACAACATACTGACACACAGTGACCATTATCATCACTATGATACGTTTGCTGTATACAATAAAACCCCAAAACCCTCCTTCACCAGAGGGAACAGGAAAGTGAGTGTGTATTGTATTATATATAACAGTATATATAAACCCACCCTAACCCTCAGCAGTGCAAATTTACAGTATTAAATGATGCAGTAAAATAACCATTTAAAACTAGTAAATCCTCCATTTCATTTATTATACTTCACAGAATAATCAGTCATCAGGCATGATGTGATTAAGATCACAAATCTTGGCACTGCAAATCTGTTTTGTTGTTTGGACTGAATATTTTGCTATACTTTACTCCTAACAGAGCAAAATAAAATAAAAAAAAAAGTTAATCATACATCTTCCCCCTTATGCACGTATTTTCCATAGCTGATGGTTGTTGTTGCAACACAGTAAAAGCTACCATGTCCGAATTTGAAGAGGAATCTCTGCGTTTGTTTTCAGAATACAGCCATGTGTGTCATACAAGTGACTATGATTTCAATTCTCTCTTCCAACTGTCAGTTTAAAAAGTATTTTCAACTCAGACACAAAGATTAACTAAACCCACATTCTATGTGAGACACTAATATAAATCAGACATAAAATGATTATTCAAGGTCACTGAGTGAATGACTGGTCAAGATACAAATTCTGTATTGCACTTCTACTTTTGAAAGGATTCATTCAGATATATGAAGACTTCCAACTGAATACTTTCACTGCTTTATGCATACACATCGATGGCAACTGTTAAAGTGCCTTGGTGATTTGCATTCTAACTTTTAGCTGTTTTTCTGAAAACAGAAGAAAAAACAACCCCCAAAAAAAACCATGTAGGCACATCCCTAAGCACTAGGAAAGGCAAATTCTCATTTACAGTGTAAATCCAGCTCATATTTCACTTCTATTTAGAATGTGATTAATCTTCTAATAATAATAAATAATGATTTGCACTGAAATGTAGTAGGAGACAACTTTAAAAGGTGTTTTATTTCACACACACACATATATACATTTTTAAGTCTGTAAGTATGCAAAAGACAGACAAGAAGTTTGATTAGATTCAAAACTTAAACCCAACCACCACAGCTAATAATCCAATTTAGTCTAAACAACAGAACTCATCCAGGGATTCTTGTGTTAAACCATAATTCTGGTTGAACCACAGATCAAATTTCATCAGCAGAGAGCCATCCCACTTCTCACTAAGACATTCAGAGGTATAATTGAGCTCACTGGGAAAAATGTGAGTTTGTTCCAGCCCAAATCTATTAAGACTCAGTTTCTAACCTTGAGATTTCATTTTGCCTTTGCCTGATGAACAACAAAAGCACATAGAAAATATTCACAGTGAGGAGATACACATACGTATATCATATCATATCATATCAATTAACTACCTTTATTTCTACTGGATAATTCAGGGATTACACTAATGCAAAGTGTCAGTAGAAAATTGAGTTCTTTATGGCTCACAGTATACTTCTGTATCACTTGAGACCAACAGGTCACAAAGTGTAAAATATTAAGTATACTTTGTGATTTCACAAATAAATGTTATAGAATGAGAAATCTTTAAGTGCCCTAGGGATCAAGAGTAATAATTTTTTTAAGAAGTACTTTATGCATGCACCAAATATGCTTTCACTTCCATATTTAATATTTCTCTTTGTGCTGTTGTATTTTATACAGTAAAATATTTCATATATCACTTACTTTTTTGTCTTCATTATATTTATGAAAAATTTCTTGTGCTCTTTCTTCACCACCATCCGTAAACAACATAATAATCTTATTACAGTTAGCTCTGGAGACACTGTGCTGTAGGAGACACAAACAGAAGTGTTTTTATATTTCAGGCTATAAGGAATAACAACTGCTATATCTGATGGCTTTTATATCTACATCCTTACTACTTTAACATGGTAATGGCAAAACTTCAAAAATATTTTAGAATTTTTTTCAGTACACCCTTTTGAATGAGAAATAAAATAAAATAAACCAAAACCATTTTTCTGTTCCATGACACTTAAATATGACCCATTTCAGATCTGGACTAACACAGTGGAATAGGGATCTGGTGGTTCCTCTCACCTCCACAAACACCAGGAGAGCTCACACCCATCACATCAAACCCCCAGTGTTCCTATACAGATGTTCTGTGTGAGACTTGCACAGTGAGGGTCTCTAAACATTTTTACTTTTTTCTCATCCTTATTTTTTTCCTTATCTTTACTGTACCTGTGGAAATTTGTGAACAATGACCCTGTAATGAATTACTGAATATGCTTATTTTTTTCTGTTGGACTCCTACTCACAGAAACTATCCAGCTCACTGACTGCTTAAATGAAGCTCTGTCAATTTAGGCATCCTGTAGGTATGTCCACCCTATAAGCTCTGAAGTATTTTGCATTTTTTTCACATTTCTTTAAAATGTGTTTCATCTTTCAATTTTTTAATTCTTTCCTGGTTTTCTAAATTATTATTTTTAATACCTTGAAATGAATAGCTAATCTTTAGAAAAGTATCTTACAATCAAGTTTGCATAATAGCCAAGATGTGGCTTTCTAGATTATTAAAAACTCTCCATCACCTGCTTTTCTAATTAGGTTGCATCTCACAACTGAAGAACAGAGTGAGTTCCATCATTTCTGGGGAGGAAGCCTGAAATAGAGAGAATTAAGAAGCCTCTCTGACTCCTAATTCATCAAAGTAACTAGTAAAGTCCCTGAGAAAAATGCAGTGTGTTTTGCAAGGGAATAAAAACATTGTTCCACAGGTAGAACAATAGAGGTGAGTATGAATTTTGGCTCCTTATGGAAGGACCAAAGGCTCCTGCTTTGGCATTCATCCTCTGTCTTTATTCTTTAAAGGTAGGAATCCAATCGAAGCAAATTGCTCATGACTCTTGCAGCCAGTGTTCCTTACCCTTTGTATTGCATACAAATGGTCCCAATAAATTCAATTTCTCCTTCCACAAGCCTGAATTTTGTTATATGAATTTTCTCTAGAGTCAGGAAAATAAATAGGACAGTTGTCCTTACAAAAGCACTCAGTTCCCCCTTGCTTTACTCTTTATGGCCAGATAGCGACTGTCACCAGGCTGGTCACACTGAAACACCAAAACCAGCCCTCAAATATCACCTAGTAACTCTCAATATTGCATTCTACAGTTCTACAATGCTTCAAGAAAACTAAAGCACAAAAACATAATTAACAGAGTAAGAATTATTCTTCAGAGATGATTTATGTTTATAGTTCAATATTCTGTGAATAATTACTTATTTATTAACTAAAAAAAAAACAAACCAAAACACAAGCCCAAAGATTTTCTTACATGTAACAACATATAAAACCTGCTTGAAATCAATACATTCTCTCCAACCTCAACAGCACACTGTGTTTCAGTTGGAATTAAATAATTTATGATCATTTTTCACTTGCGAAATATAAGTTACAAGATACTGCTTTGGGCTGTAATCTTTTCGATATTAAAAAAGTAATAAAAGCAGAGTTGGATATTTCATAAATAAAGAAATTCACATGCATTTACAGTGGGTTAATATATAGGCCAAAATAAGGTCAGAGGGAACAAAAGAGAGATATCAAGGAAGAGGACCAAAACTTGCTCATATTATGAAACCTTCCTACTGATTTTGAAACAAGCACTACTATGGGCAATGTGATCATATGATATTATATTCATATTACGTATGAAGTGTTTAAAGCCAGTTTGGGTAGAGCTCTGAGCAAGCTGGTTTAGAGAGAAGTGCCCCTGCCCATAGTAGGGCAGTTGGAACTAGCTGATCTTTGATATGCCCACCAAGCCAGGCCATTCTGTGACTCTGCGATTCTCCCACAATAAAAACTTCGCTTTTGGATGAATGAATTTAACACGTTAGCCTTTCAAAAGGCATCAAGGAAGGCAGAATTGCCTTTACAACACCTCTTATTCCCCCTCCCCGCCCCCCCATTTGGACTAAACAGGGGAGATATTGGCTCAGGATGTGAAAATAAGTGATTGTGAAAAGTGGACGCAGCAACTTCATAATTCTTCTGAACAGTTTGCCTCAGCAGTCCAACAGACCACAGATGAAAGGGAATGTGTTGCCTATACAGGAGCTTCCCCAGGACAAAAAACAATTTCTTAGCTTAAACCACAGAAGGATACAATTTGGAACTAAGCTATGTATTAATTTTTAGCTCTCTCTTCTATTTGATAAAGGTCTTTTTTTATTCTTTCAAACAAGCAAGCAAAACATGATCCATTTATAGTATGGTTAAAATTACTTTTGTTTTATAAAAGTTTCACATCTTTAAAATTAACTCATTAAATGACAGGTAACAATTATACCTTGTGACATGACACTTTAAAAATTCATTTTTCACTATTTTTTCTCTGACAAATCATAGCTATTATGGCGTGTTGGGAAAAACCCTCCTGGAACTGCTGAAGGTGAGGTATTATGCTTTTCAAAGAAATAACAAGTTAATATAACAATAAATAATGGAAAAAATACTACATAAAAATCCAGATTATTGATAAACACTGGCATTAGTATGTTGAAAAAAACACAAGTGTCTATTTCCATTTGGTAACACATCAGGCAGCAATCTATTCATGCCACAAGTGAAACATTGCTTCAGTGTTCTGGAAAATTGTTTGAAATAATTGTCATCCAGAAAGAGTACCCCCAAAATTATTATTAAAATTTGAGCAACACTGCATTTCTATGGACCTTAAAGCAATTCGACTATTTGAATTCATAAATATACAACTGGAAACTATCTCACAGCATATTTTTTATTATTTGCTTAAGGTGGTATTATATCATCATATTATATTGTCTTGTCACTGGAGTGTAGTGTTAAATCCATCACCAGCCCTTTACTCTTCCTGCTAAATGGATTTGCCAGTGTTTGGAGGGGATGACTGTATATCTATAACCTCATGCAATCCACAATGTCCAGCCATAATTTACAGTCTTGCAGAGATCATGTGAGGCTAATCACACCTCTGCCTTCAGCTACAAAAGAGTTGGTCCCACTATGACACTGATCTACCATTAATTTTTAAATAATATTTGAGTCCTACAAACAAGTCCACTTTGAGGTTTCCCCTGTGTTCAGCTTGTCTTAATGTTGCCTGCACACAAAGTATATATCTGGTGTTCTGTGCAATCAATAATTTTAAGGAAATATAAATGTCATGAGGAATATATTTGGAAAAATTCCTTGCCTTCCTCTTCCCTCTGCATGAGATGTCAACAGATGCGTGTGTAATGGCCAGTCTTCGCGAGCGAAGATTTGGGAAAGGTCATTAACCCTTCCAGCCTGCGCAGTGGATTTTTAGGTGAGACACAGCGTGCGCTCAACAGATGCAGAAAATGGGAAAATGCCATCCAGCCTGGTCCAAAAATATCCAATAGACTTTAAAAATAACCATCAGCAGAGGGCACCCACTCATTTCTCCACCAAACCCCGCTGCTAAACTGAATAGTGGTCAACTGAGAAAATTCACATGAAAACATTGCTTTTTCTTTTCCTACATCAAAATTTAAGAAGGGTAGAAATTTTTCAACCATTTCTAGCCTTAAATTGCATATACAATGTCAGGGAAGTGTCCCGAAGTCCAGAACCTGGCAGATTAGGGGGAAAAAATAAAGTAAAAACAAATATATTACAAAAAATCATAAGGAAAAGAATGCATTTCATACTTGTCAAGGCATATCCTTATCTGCTGTAAACTGATTCAGCTTTACTTGCACTAAGGTGGAGATCTAATATGAAGTTTTTACAAAGGTGAAAAGTAGAATTATTTTTTTAAACAACCACATAAACCATTAAAAATTTACTGATTAACTCCCAACATCTGTGGTAGATGGGAAACATTGCTATTCAAAAAGGTAGTGCTTGGGTGCAAATTAGAAAGTACAATGTATCTAAAACATAGTAACAATGCATTTATTTTTAAGGAAATTATTCTTTTTATACATGAGAAAGAAAAAGGAATTAGAATACTCTCAGATGCCTAATATCCCTCTATTAATTAACTCATTTCCTCTGCTCTATTCTGCTCAAGCCATGGTAAACTATTTATGACTTCTAATAAGTGTGAAATTTTAGGTTAACTAAACATTGCTAGGAGATGCTGTGGTAAAATTAAAATAATAGCACTATAACACAGAGCTGTCCATTCTAACATTAACTGCAAGTTAACCACTACCATAAGTATGTGCCAACTGGGAATCACATGTTAAATGGAAAACCAGCTGAATGAACTAAAACACTACAACACATTGAAAACCAAATTCATTCCCAAATCTTAGCAACCTGCTAGGGAATCTGCAAGGAAAAAACATTTCTGGGATAGATTTACTTGCTAAATAAAGGTTTGCACTTCAACCACTTAAGTTACACAATGAAGGAGCACCCAGTGGCCATCTGAACATTCAAGTTCTCCTGCTTCACCTGGCAGAAGAGAGATATTACTTAAACACTTACATTTAGCAGCTGTTCAAAAGCGTAGCTAAAGCCTTTTTTGTAATCTGTAATTCCTTTAGCAGAAATTTTATAGACAGCTTCTTTCAGTTTCTTCTTGTTCCTCACATTAGCTTGGACAAGATGATTAAAACAACTGACGTTCTGAGCATTATTATTAAACTGTAAAATAAAAAGAAATGTTATTAAAACAGTTATTTTCTTTTCTGTGTACTGTAGTCCTAAAGATTTATGTTGTTTGGATCCATGAGATAAAGAATATCACACCTGGATTTTCATTTCCACTATTGAAAACGTCCAGCAGCATCTGGAGATTTCAAAATGGAGCAATAAATATATTTAAAAATAAAGGTATTTGGTGCTTCACCCGGTGGCAATCAAGAAAACTCTACTGTAATGGAAAAATTCCCACAAATTTTGTTTCAAGTTTATATCATAAAATAAAACTCAGACACGCTGACAAAATGAAAAACATAGGAAAATACATACTTTTTTTAATCACTGAAAAATACTGGTTGAGTTATAAGGTGACCTCTATATTGCACCTATTAGTTTGGTGGTTTACAATGAAACCTATAGATCATATTCAATTAGTACATATACCTTATGGAAAGCAAAAGGAAGCACATGAGAGTATAGCTGCAAATACGAGAATATTGTTAACAGCAGTACAAATTTGTGTATTGAGAACACACGTGCTTCTGCTGTCCTACCCACATATCCATAAAAACTACTCCCTTTTAAGTAATTTATATGAGATTTTGACATTATGTAAAAACATTTATATGAGATTTTGACATTATGTAAAAACATACACAGATAGTTTTTAAGTGCAAGATGTTGTCTGCACAAGTAGAAATCAGTTTATGATCACCTGAAAATTCATCTCTGTGTAAATATACATACATTCATGTATACCTACAACTATATGTATCTTCAGAGAGAGAGAGAGATGCAGATATAGGTCTCACTTTTTAGTGGCACCATGTATGATTTTAACTCTAGTTTTGGATGAAAGTGCATATTACTGCATACAAGCTGTGTTTAACTCTATTTGAGTGAAAATCTCCTTTTAACTACAACACAGTGACTTTTTTCTAAGATACTCTTGACTAATATTACTAAAACTACTGTCTTCGCCAATTTTAAACTGTTTCATCTGTCAAGATTTCTTATGCGAGCTTTTTTCCTCACTGGTAAAGATGATGTCCAAAAATCTCTGTAAACTCCATCTCAGTAAAGGCACTAAAATACAGATCTCCTAATTTACACTTCATCTGAAAGTAGATTATTATGCATCTTCCTGATTATGGATCTTCAGTGAAAGTAAATGTAAATGTAATTTTGTCCTGTCAAACTTGTGCAAAGCCTTAAAATAATGTAAAAATCAGGCCATGTTGCTTTAAGTCCACTACTGTTAGATAGTTCGATAGTGCTCTATAGAATAAAGGTCACAGATTTCAATAAATGCTCAGACTCCTTACCAGTCTAAAATAAATCACTAAGTACCAGGCACAAAGTGTAGAGACAGCTGTTGTCAGCAGCAAACACCAACTTGCACTGTGACTGTAGGACACTTATAGTGAACAAAACTTAAAAGGATGGAAAGATTGATAATATCAAACCAACTTTTGTAATGCCTACTATTTCAATTCAAGTTATTAGGATGCTTAGGAGGTAAGCAGACTTTTCCCTGTCCTGGAATCAGATGCTCCCTGCTGTTAGGACCCAATAAAATATGAACTACCAGTTATTATTCTCAAATATCCACTTTAGTCAATAAGACTTCTGCTATGAAATTGCTAGAAACAAATGTATAACTGCAAATATAGTGCAGCTAATGGCAGAGATGACTGACATAGGCATCATCCTCAGCAGAAGGCTTAGCCTAATTTGTTCCCTATCCTTCTTGAAAACAGGCACAGAATTGCAACTGTGGAGATTTTGGGTGCAATTGAGCAAATCCAGGTGCTATTATGAGAGCCTTTGCTCTGCTGGATTCTTCCTTACAGTTCCATATGGAATATCTTATTCCCACAAAGAGGATGTGTGAAAGTGCCCCATGAACTAAAGAATTTAAAGCATGAATTCGTCTGCCTCATCTTGTCATATTTTTATTGCACCAGAAGCCCCTCCTGCATGTATGTAGAACCTAAACCTATTTTAATTTTGAGCATTAAGTAATTCATAACTAATCTAATACCTTGTCATTCTCATATTGCAATTATTTTGATAGGGTGCTTATTTTTGATTTTTCCTCATGAATTAATATTGTCTTTTTGCGAGACAAAAATTTTTTTTTACAGTATAGCTGATGCTTTGCTGAGGACTGTATTAGCTAGCAAATAATATTGATACTTGTTAAGCAAAACATACTATCACAATACTCATATAAGAATCTTCATCTATCTTTCTAATTAATAAGAACAGTTATTACTCTGTCCCAATTTTATAGTTCTAGTCCCCAGGTGATTAAATATGTAGGAGCAAGTTATTCTCAAAAGACTTTATGCAAATTTTTCTGTCCCCCTTTCTGTCAATAAGCAGTTCCCAATGTATCACAAAGGGATGGCTGTTTCCAAAACATACTGAATCATAAATAAGTGCTTTAATTTTGAAAAATGCAGTGTTATATTCTATTCCAAGTATTCTATGGAAGAGTTAGTTGTATATAATGTTATAACAAAAGTGGTTTATTTATTTTTGTAATATTTTATTTATCGTGGCTTTAATTTTCACAATACCACAACCACAAACATACAGTTATGTATCAAAATTATTTACAGTGACATAAATATGAAAACAGGATGAAAAAATGAAGATTAAAAATATTTGCCATTTCTCCCAGTGTCACTTCACCTTTAAAATAAATGAAGACATGGAATTGGATTACATATATTTAAGCTTGAATATTCCTTTAATGTATGTAATATTTCTCAAAAAAGAATATTTTGGTAGGACCAATAAAACCAGCATGTTTTGTTGCTTAAGCAAAACCACAAGATGATCACACAACTGTAATGAGTTTGGTGAAAAACACTGACATACTCAATGGTGCTTCCAATGATAGTTTCTACCAGAAGTAACCAGTAAATCACCCAATGGTTATTGGATACATAAACCATGTGGAAGTGAAAACAGTATTGTGCTGCGGAATTATTTCTGTTTGCCTCAACCTAGGTTTACAGTCATGATGGGAAAATTACAGCCATAAAGTAATTTTATAAAGAGAAGGTCTCAAAAGGAATTCTAATTCTGAGTTGGGTTGAAAGTACAGAACTTGTACTTGGAAAGTAGAAGAAAATAGTTTCCTCATAGGCAGCTCTGCTCTACAAAAACCAATTTCATTTGAAAAACTAAAGTGAAAACACTGCTGTGGTCCATCAGTGACATTATATATGAATTATTTAATGTATAAATGTAAGCATAAGTTTAATCCTATGGCCAGTGCATGCATTGTCTTGAGCTATAGCAAACAGCGGTTTAGACGTTCAAGTGAAAATTTAGTGACAAGAGAAAATTTCTCCCTCAAGAGTCATTAACATTAAACTGCAAATCTAAATTGGTTGCTAGCAACCCTGCAAATATATCAGCATAATTATTTCTATGAAGGTCAAGTATCTAGCATGTGGATCTGTAATTATGGCTACAAAAATGACATGTTAGTAATTGTCAGGAATACCAGCTCAAACTGTGGAAGAAGTTGACAAGTAAACTGTACTGCAGGACAATTACACATTAAACTGTACTGCACTCACTCATTCTGTAAACAGAACAAAGGGGCAAAGTCAAAACATCTGCATCTATAGATTGACAAATGCTGATGTAAAACCAAGGAGAGAAATGACACATTTGTAGGATGGAGAGTTACATCAACCAAAGTCAGCAAATGCTGGAATTTAATTAAGAAAATATATGGGCCAGCTGTTTCCAAAGATATCAGTCAAAGTTAATGTTAATGCTAGTCAGAAAAGCAGATGAGCAGAGTTTTTGATTAGATGAAGGAATCAGTAGTTGGAACAACAATCCTCCAAAATGAACATTTCCCTGTTTGCTAGGAGGTGAAGACAAAGTTGAAATGTGACTGATGAAAATTTTCAAAGGGAGGAACAAAATTCAGGGGTACATTTAACTAATTTCAACTCCAGTAAAGTACTGAAATGATAGAAGGATTTTGACTGTAAAAGCCTTCAGATCACCCATAAAACTGACTTTTCACATGAGACAAAAACCAGGACTGTTCAAAACTTTGAATCAGACAAACCGAGCCAGCTTTTAGTTATGCTCATGCGAAATATAATAACAATAGTGGCATTACAATTTTTTACATATTAAGATACCAAAAGCCAAAATAACTGCAATGAGCCTTTAATGATTACTCATCACAATGCCTGACTCCTAAGCACTATAATAATTCTTTTTTCAGTTTAAAAGATTTCTTGAAAACCAGTTAACAATATACGCAATCACTTAGTATTTAACTGCAGAAAAAACATGTAAGATTTCAAAAACCAGTTGCCACTTCAGAAAATCTATGTTCTTACAAAATCAAATTTTATCAAAGGAGTAAAATTAAGGTAATTACAATCCCTATTTTATTGAACAAGATACTCTCAGTGTATCTATACGAAATACATCAGTTGGGTATTTATCAGGCTGGCATTTCCCCCTAATTACTGCAGTAAATATAGCATATGTCACAAAAGTGCTACCAGTAAAAAGGAAATAAATGAAATTTGTTTATGATGCCATGGGCTTAGTGATTCACTTACAAAACAATAGATGACATTTGAAGGCAAAACGTTCAATTGTTAAAATGTAAAGACATCCTATACGGTATGTCACACTTGTAACAGCTCCTACTTTTTCAATTCTATAAAAATCTTATTCTTTATTTAAGCTAGAATAAGAAGGGTTTGAAGGTAAACAGTTGGAAATCATGGAAAATAGGACAACTTTAAGTTTTTTTATTTTAAGGTATCATGAAATATTAATATAATTAAATTTGTCTAGTAATTATACCTGCAAGGTATAAGATTCTAAATGCAGTTTTCACTAGATTATTTCTCACTACCCCATTTATTTATATCCTTTTGCAGTCCCCACCTTTGGGACGTCCCAGAACTATCCCTTAATTTCTGAGGAAATTAAGACCTCCTCTT